GAGATGGACTGTTGTCCTGTCCAGGGCGTACCCTGGCTTGCACCCACTGCTTGCCAGGTTAATCTCCAGCTCCGCCGCTACCTTGTACTGGATAAAGCAGTTAGTAAATGGATGGATTATTATATAATATACATTGTGGAATATGTTATCATATAGTAATCATAGTTTGTTATTTTTAGATTATATAATATAATGGAAGTAAACAGCCTGTTTCTCATTTACAGTATAACCTTAAAAACAATTACAGCTACAATGAAAAACATAAATTGTTCACTCTTCCTAAATGCAATGACGTTTCAAGTCCTTTTCTGAATTTCTTTTTCAGTTATTGAGTGTAAAGCACTGCTAGTATGGTGGCCACTGATAATAAACTGCTCTCATCCGCTGGGGAACTTCAGTTTCAGATCGAAGTGTGACTTTAGCTGTAGCAAGGGCTACAGGTTGAATGGAACGAAAGAAACATCTTGTAACTCATTTGGGTTTTGGAGTGACCTGCAGCCTTCCTGTGAAGGTATATATACTGTGTAACTGAACTGCTTTCTTACTTAGCTACTCATTTTCTTGCACTTAAGTAGTCAGATATGATCATTTAACTTATCATTTCCTCACCATTTCCTTACAAAGAGGTTTCACTTCCAGACTACATTCATCAGTGATGCGTTGAACTACCTGTAGTTATCAGAACTACTCAATTGCGGAACACCTTTCAAACCTGTTCAAGACTCATCCATTTAGACATCACCTGTGATCTCTTAGCTCTCAGCTGCAGTCTTCAGTGTATCCTTGCTTCTCAGGCTGCTAGTGTGAGTTGCTTCTTGCTCCTGCTCATTGTACACAAGTCTGCATTTCCATGTTGCTTGATGTCCACACTATCAATTTACTGTTTTAAATTGTACTGTTCATGTTGTCCTGTGCTGGGCGCATTTTGCATAGTATAAGTATATGATTGTTACTTAATTTATATGTTCTACGTCACCCTGGATAAGGGCACCTGCAAAAGCAAATGAATAATATTCCAGTATTTACAGAATTGTAGGGAAAGAATACAACGTAATCTTTAAGACCTGGAATTATTACATAAAACTAATGTGCATTTAAGGTAAATGTGCTTTATTTCAGCGCTGGAAATTCCTATTGGGATGGCAATGTTGATTTACACAGGAGTGGGTGCTGGAGCAGGACTCTCTCTGCTCCTTTTGAGTGGAGGACTTTTCTTCATTGTAAAACGCCTTTCCAGGAGAGGTAAGGGCAATGCAAACTTTCATGCACATTGTAATAATTAAGATTGAATTATGTGGTTTGCCTGATAAAATAGTAAAAATGTGGTTTAGATAAAAAAGAATAAGGTTTGTAAATACAGCGTGCATTTTCAAGTTGGAAACATTGATGAAATTGATATTTTATTGATGTGTATTTACTTTTAGGTTCACGTGACAATAAACTTTATCCTAACAGGTAAGATACTGTACAGCTGATTTTCTTTTACCTTGATATTTGCATTAAACATTTGTCTAAATATT